GTAAGGTATTAAATAAGGAATTGGCATCAGGGAAAAGTGAACTGTCTTTTCTCAGTCTCTTTTGTGAAAATTGTAGAAAGAAGTAATTTGGATATTAATTAGAAATGGACTGTCGTAGCACCTAACAGGCTAGAAAGACAGGGCTGTCCACTCCTGCAGGCAGTTGCAGTCTTGGGAACGGGGCAGTCCTGCCCTGTCGCCATGAGTTGACAAGGCTCGATGGCAGTGTTTTGTTTTTTCTTTTGTGAGCACTTCACGAATTCATGTATGGATATTTTCTTGGCTCGTGTCCCACAATAAACAGGAAGAACATGGTTTTTGCTTTTCTTTTCTTCCTGTTACCAGTGAGAACCTGTGGCTTTGGAAGGTTACATGATCTGCCTGAGTTGAAACTAGAACCTAAGGGCTGCTAGTCCGGTATATAGCTTTTCATAAATATTGCAATAATTGAAGAGGAGACTACATTGAGAAATCTTGATGTATTCCAGAAGTGGTCCATCAGGTTAAAATTCAGGAAATACACTTACAAAGGCAAGTTCCATCACTAGTAGTCTTGGGTAACAAATGCCCATCAGAACTCAAACCAGACTCACTGCCATTGAGTCAGTTCCACTCATAGCGAGCCTGCAGGACAGGGAAGAACCGCTTCTGTGGGTTTATGAGACACTAACAGTCTGGGAGTAGAAATGGCTGTCTTCCACGTCGTGGCTGGTGGTTTCAAACTGCCAACCGTAAGGTTAGAAGCCCAACTCGTAACCACTGTGCCATCAGGGCTCCAAAGCCCATCAAGCTAACTAAAATTGCTTTTGGACTGCTTCAGCATAAGTGGTAGAGAAGCTGACGACACAGCAGTTAGATTGGCAGAGAAGGCCCAGGAGACTGTCCTGGGAGAGGAAGAAGTGAGTGAGGTTGCTCATACGCTACTTCAACTACAACTATCTGGCAGTCTGGTTGGGCTGTCTTTGAGCCATGAATGGAAACCACACTATGAATAAATTGTAAATGGACTTATTTGAATGTTTTAGATGGTGACAATTCTGACGGTGCATTTATTTGGTGTCTAGAAGGAAAGAAAACCAGGGACATCCAGGAGTTGGATGTAGTTTTGTCTGCATTTGAGGAAACCTTCTCAGAGTATGTGTAAGTACTTTGTTCTAGTGATACACGAGAGAGCTTCAAAAAGGTGGTGAAAAATTCCTTCTCATAATCCCAATTTTCCATGAGCTTCTTGAAGCTCCTTCCTATGTACCTAATTTCCCTTGAAGCGCCACTTTCGGTCATCAAAGTCTTTGATGTGTAATATTTTCATTAGCATTCTGTTTTAGGGATTTTGTACAATTCTTTGTGATATTGTCTCTAATCCTGAGTTTATTTACCAGTCTGTTTTTAAATACTCAAATAGGTAGATTTTTAATTTATATTTTTCCATTACTCTTTTCTCTTAAATATGTTGTAATAGAATCATGGTCTGGTAGTACTTATTTTTTGGAATTTTAAGACTTGCTTTATGACCTAGCATTTGATCTTTATAGAATTTCTAATTACTGGATCTGTGCTTAATCTATAATCAGTTTTTCCCAGTGTTTCTGTCAATTTTTGTTATATGTATATATATATTTAGAGATTGTTTCGTGGATTGAACACTTTATGATTATGTAGTAATCCTCGCCATCCCTAACAATACATTTTTGTCTTAAAAATACCTTATCTGATACTTACCTACATTC